TAGACATGCCATGCCGTAAATCTCTTTACAGTTGTATGAATATCAAAAAGGATTAAATGTGGCAGACTTCCTTAATGTAATCTTCTATCCAACAGCCATTCACTGATTCAGTTATTCATAGCACCCAGTTCTCTGCTGTCTGGATCGTGTTCGGTAATGTCTGCCAGATTTGTAAGATAAGGAATTATTGAATTGTCTCCCCATACAATAGAGAGTTAACAGCAACTGTCACAAAATCATTTCCTCATAATTAACCCATATTACCTTTGAAAAAAAACTAACCAATAAAAACCAAATTGATTGCTGCGGTGTTAAGGAAGCACACAGACCGTGTTTAAGTATTCAAGGGGGGACCTCTAATTTTCAGAAAATTTTCATCAGACAGTTTGGGCTCAGTGGGTTGGTATTCTATTATATATCAATGACATCTCTTCTGTTGTCATTGTAAATGCTGAGATGACAAGGGTCTTGATGAAAGAGTGGATTTGTATATTCTGGGAATTAAAAAATAGGAATTTATGTGGCAATGAGGATGTCATTGTTACTTACTGCTCTTTAGGCACCTTTAACATTAAAAAACTTTGACAAAACCAAACCAAAGGAGCAGATTTAATTGTATATATGTACAATCTGAGCAACTGCATTTATGTTCGAAAGCTAGAGATTGTGTGTGTGTGTGTCTGTGTGGGTGCATGTGAACATGTGGATGTAATTGTTGCTTTAAACCCAGCTGTAATGTTCCTGCGAACAGCAGCCTGCGGGAGCCACAGGGATACGGTGCAGGGTACAGAGGAATAAGACACATTAATGATCACCTCATGTGTCGAGTCCCCAGCTGCTCACCCACCTTTCTGCTACTCGTAGCACAAAGGGTCTTGCAACCTGCTCTACAATTTGACTGATTGCTGTGACATGACAACTGGTTCGGTTTTGTTGGTTTACTCTCTAATTTTGATTGATTTTTTTGTTTTGTTTTGACTAACTGTATTCCATTACATTTTTTCCCAGACATAATTTCAGTGTGGTTAATATTCTCAGAGGAAAAACAAATTCAGCCAACCTTACAGAGAGGTCGCCTCTGCTGAGATTGTCTCAAGATGACAAGTGAGTATTTCTCACTCTTTAGCTTGTTCATCTGGTATGGAGCCCCAAAATTAGGAAACAATAATTATATGAATAAATTGTGTAAATGTGAAAATGAAGTAAACATTTGGATTTTTTTTACGATCTTACATCACAGCTGTTGTCCTTAATGCCAAGTAGTGTTTGTTTCCAACACTGAAACTATAGTGGTGGATGCCCAGAAGACTGACAGTGGTTACTCTTTTCCAGCATAACCTACCTGACCCTGCATGACCCCAGCTTTGCTGGAGGAGAAGAACCATGGCACAGCAGCTCCCTGGATTTGGATAGGAGGTGTAGACTGGGCAGCGAGGTCACCAGCCTGTCCCTGTCCCGCTCCAGCTCCTCAGAGAAGAGTGACCCTCTGGACAATGTCAACCTCAACTTCAGATTCACCAGTAGTATGAGGTGAGACCCCTCCTGTTGCCATTAGAGTATTATGCCTGACAGGACAAATATATAGAGCTATTCTTATTTTCTTTCTACCCTTTAATATAAAGCAATACTGTATCTGCCAGCAATTCCTCATGTCTGAGTTGTGAGCAGGTCACAGACTGTTGTTCCCTTCTGAGTGTTTCATTTGAATAATTTATACAGTATCTGACAATAAAAACACTTTTTTTTAGATACAAGTAAAAAAAATGCTTTTGTGGGGAAGAGTTTAGTTTTTAATGTTTCCTACATTAGTGATAGGGTTCATTTTAGATGCACTGTAGTGAACACTGTCTCCTCCTCTGTCTTTTCAGATGCTGCTTCAGAGTCTCAAAAATCGCCACAATCTTTACTATTGTCATTCTCTGCAGTGTAAGTATAATAACAAACAACCCCAATGTTATTGCATCTGCCTTCCTTTTCATACTTGGGTGTTACTTTCACTTTGGCAGAACTTTGGCAGAACGTTATCCACCATAGTTTATGATTTTATAGCAACATTAAAGGATTTTATTGGAGTTTCCAATGGAAATAGAACTGACCATTTTATCCCATTAATATCAGTGGCAATTAAAGGAACCATTCCAGACCTATATCAAGTTACAGGCAGGAGGCAATTAGCTTAGCCTAGCCTAAAGAGTGACATTAAGGCGAAAGTCTACTGGCATGTTTATTGTAATGTGAGGTAGGCTGGGAAAAGATGTGAGCAATCACAGCTTGTTTGCTGGACCTATTATTGCTGCACCATTTAGAGAGCAACAAACTAAAAGAGAATGTGGGGCAGTTGTATTTGTGTTCATTTATTGATTTTGTTCTTATTGCTATTAATGCAGTAGAGTGAGATGGGCAGGTTGATCACTGTCAAGTCTTTATGCTAAATATGGTGCTAACCTGAAAGCCAAGCAGCTTAGCTTCACATACAGTAAACACTGGAAATGTTGTCTAGCTCTGTAAACCTAGCAGCATAGCTTCACATACATTAAACACTGGAAATGTTGTCTAGCTCTGTCCAGAGTTTCTATTACCAGCACATTTAAAGCCTACTAAGGACTGTTCCTGGCTTGTTTGCGAGCAAAGCTTGCTATGACAACTCTTAAACCACAAATTGTCATTTTATTGTTTCTGTTTGTGTATGGTATGCAAACATGATACAACATGTTAATTAGTGACCTTTAGACAGGTGGGCAGACTTACAGTATTTTTGAAGCTTAGCAATAGCCAAGCCAGCTGTTTCCCGGTCTTTATGCTAGGCTAAGCTAATTGCCTCCTGCCTGTAACTTGATATAGTTCTTGAAAATTTCTTTTCATTACCACTGATATTAATGGGATGAAGTCAGATTGGACAAAAGAGAAATAAGCCCTCTTTCCTGCTGTTTACTAAACTTTACTACTGACAGTACACAGCACTGAATTCAAGTGAAATTACACAGTATACAGTGGATTTCTACTAGTGGTGTTTTGAGAATGCCATCTTTTCTGCATTTACCGAATCTATACAGTAGAGTACAGCATTTCATTTTCTTTGTTCTGAGCATTTCTTGATATTTCTCGAAGGAACTCTTGATGAATGTATTCTGGTTTCAGCTGTTCTTCAGCATGTATCCAGATCGAGACAACCCCTGGAGGATGTTGGCAGTCTCTTCAACAGAGAGTTTTTGTATCCTTTCCCACTGCAGCATAGTCGATGCATATTGTGTTTTATGTTTTGGTCTGAAATTAGAAATAACACAATGAGCTGCAAAAGGCCCAGCAGGCCTTTAATCAACACAGTCAAGACGAGCAGGGTGGAACATGATGCAGCTGTGTTTTACTTTGAGTATAAGGGCATGCTGAGACACAGATGCAGAGGAAAAATCACATGGAGAGATTTTTAAAAATGTATTTGCTCCACAAGGGTCTTTATCAGGCTTTAATCAGCATGAATGCTGTAGGAAAAATTAGTCAGTGAAAGTGACAGCAATGCAGGTAGGTGAATCAATGATCTTGTGTTACACTGTGTACTTCAAGCTTGGAGCTTTATTCAGAAAGGTAGCGTCCTGTTGTCTTTGGTGTGTTCTGAGAAAAAAAACAAACACTGCACAGATTATGGCATGACTTATTCCTATGAAGTGTTTAATCAGTTTCAAAATATCATCTGCAAAGCGTTGTCTCCTGTGCTGTCAACATTTCTACTGTTTTGTCTTGACGGTCCATGTCCCACAGCGATGAACCTGACAGATTTCCGTGACAACGCTTTGCTTAAGCTACAGGTGGGGGGACCTTTCACAGGAGGGATGACTGATGTCACCATTCAGGACTACATTCTGATCCAGGTGGAGCAGACCGAGCAGCCGGGACAACGGAGGAGGAGGACTCAACAGGTAATAGCCCCTGTGTGAAAAGTTTCTTTGCTGTATCATCTGTGAAGCAGAAATTAGTGACACACTTATTTTGCTGTTTGTCAACAGGTGCTTTATAATTGGACCATTCCTCTTCACAGCAAACGAAGTGACCAGATACTGTTGACAAAAACCTTTGAGATGCTCAGCAGGTACTGTGAATAGGACTCTATGTTGATTTGAAGAAACTGATTTCAACATGCACATTGACCTTAAAACATTACAATAGCGTATCTAAATTGTCACCTTAGAGACTATTTGACTACTATTTTGAGGGAGGTTAGAGAAGTTGGATATTTTTTTTATATTTTTCTTTTTACTGGAGGGAAGATAGTCAGTCCCAAATTACTTGTAAAAATACATAATGGTGTGTACACAGGGTTCTAATTTGCTGTGAATATATATGTTTTGGCAAACAAGTATCATGCACAAACATTTCAGCACCAGTAACACCTTCACCAGTGTGCAGCTTGAACAAGCTTAACACAATTAACACAGATCATCTAAAAAAATCTAAAAAAAAAAACTCCTCACCGAGGCCTCCTGCTGATAGAGATAGAGCCTGCATAAACAGAGTTATCCTTCCTGTGGGCTGCCTTTTATTGTTCCTTTGTCTTTTGCCATGCATTAAACATCTTTATTAACATATTTTTTCCGTTCTCAAACAGCGATCCCATCATAATCACAATTCAGGCCTTCCTGCAGGATAATGAGGTGGTGCCGTTGTCCATGACCCACCAGTCGCTCTATGTCAGTGTGGAGACACAGGTGGCCATTGCTGGAGTCATCCTGGCTGGAGTCTATGTCCTCATCATCTTTGAGGTAAATGGCCTGTGTTACTCATGCTTTTCTAAGTTCTGTCACCTAGTTTGAAATGTGTAGTACTAGTACCACAGCAGAGGAAGCTCCAATTTCAACTACACTGTACTGTATACAGTATGTGGCTGCTTGTGTCTCAATGAGCACAACTAAAGGTTGTAACCACAGGACATCCACACAGGTGCTTCTATTTTGTTTTATTAGACTTCTCTTTACTGTGAGTAAGCAGGCTAAGCCTTTTTCAATGAGACATTTTGACATGTAACAGTGGAAACGCACAAGTATACATAAAACTGATGATGGCTGAATCTCATTTAGCTGCTTCTGTCTCCAGGTCGTAGTGTTGTGCATGCTGGTTCACCGTTGCACTGTCATGGCTTACTGGGATGCTAGAATAGAACAGGGTATTATTATCATTAGTAACACTCACTGTATGCTTTTACTACTATGACAAGTCAGAATGTCTGCTGTGAAGAAGGTGCATTAGCACAAATTAAAGAACACAGGCTGCTGGTCCAGGGGTTTTTAAGTTTGCTGTGACAGACTGCACCTTTTAGTCACCTCCCTCAGTCTAGTGATTGTGGTGTTGCACCAGCTAGGGCAGGACAAACAATGTGAACACAAATTGCCCACATGTACATAGTTCAGCATAGTTCTGCACAACTTCAGACTCAGGAGTTGGGCAGATTAATATAATATAATTAATATAATGATATTTTAAACAGAAAAAATTTCTCTCATATGCTTTAATCCTATTTGTTTTTAATGAATCATTTCCAGTAGCGACTACTGATTGATACAAGCTCTGTGTGTTATGTGTGCAAAACACTGAATGTACTTAAGATGCTGATAAAAATAAAGTCATATTTATGTGTTTACATTTACAAGTGAACTTGTTATGACAGAGATGCAGATTGCAGTAGCAATCAAAAATACATCACCCGAAGAATATATCTGGCAGGCTCTGGCTTACGGGAGGACATTAACACAGATAGGAGCCAACATTCAGAAATAAACAAGGTTTAAAAAAAAAAAAGCAACACAAAACAAAAAGAAACTTGTCAACTCAAAGCGCTACCTGACAAAACGTAACACAAACATCTAAAGAAAAATAACTAGACAGCACAGTCACGGAACAATACATTAAATTGGAAACATATGTAATCAGGGTAAACTGAAGCAAACAAACCAAGAACCCAAGGAGGCAGGCAAAATCCAAAATAAAGAGTCCAAAACTTCAAAGAGGTATACAGGGCAGGAGATAACCACAATGTGGCAGGAGCAAAGTGGGGTGTGGGGTGCGGTGTGTAGATAAACCAGCAACTAACTGAGGGACATAAGAAGAACAGGTTGAGATTTGGAAACAAGCAGCAACAGGTCAATGAGTGTTAATCAAAAACTGAGGCAGGTGAGATGACATGGGACAGGAAGTGCTATCAAAATAAAATTACATAACAGGAAGTAGTCCCAGACCATATAAAAATCATTAGAATATTAACTAGAAGTAAGTTATAAGTGAAATTTCTTAACATATGAGTTAATAATGGATGAGTCAGGTTTGATTAATGATGAACTAAATTTTAAAGAATTATTCATCTCCCACACATTAGTTATTACTACACTGAGCGTCTCCCTTTACACCGGCTTGTCTGGATTTAAGTTCCCTGAATATACATCTGCAATTTTCATCCATTTCCAGTCAGGGTTTAATTATAATTTGACAGGCCATTTCCCAGGATACAAGCTGTGCTGACAGGGGCAATAGAGTCAGCAGTGGGCCGTGGGCAGCACAGCTCCGTACACACGCTCATGGCCTGTAAATGTAAGCATGAGGAATGCCTTTTCAGTGTGTGAGTAACAGCAACATGTTATCTGACTTCGGCTCTGTATGACATTTCTGAATGTCTCACTCTGCAGAGAAGATTTGTTTTTACTCTGATAAAAGCCTGACATTGCCTCTTAAGCACACACGCTTTCTCTCACATTTAACATGATGTAAATTTCTGAATAAGTTCAAACTAAGGGATCTCTGAGTGTGTTAGTAACACCAATTTTCCTATTTTAATAGGCACTTCAGTGAAATGCTCTAGCAGGTCAAAAGTAAAGAAGTTTGTCATTCTTGACAAAGGCTGTGATTGAAAAAAAGCTTTTGTTTTCCTTTTCCATTATCTGAACGGATGTATTCACCCTAAGAGAAATTGAAAGTCTGTGGACTGTCAGAGTTATTATTTATCTTGAGTGACGAGACCCAGTTTAGCTTTCAGCAGTTCAGCGAGGCCTAGTGCATTAAAGACCATGATAAATGTTCTCTTCAAACTTTGTTCTTTTAAAGTGACAACAGAATTAACATGTAACAATTCTTTCTTTAGCCTAGCCAGAATAAACCTGCCAATAAAGCTGCCTCACAGAATGCACATGACATGGAATTGGCTTTTTATTTTATTTTATTTTGATTAAACCAGCAAGGCTGCCGCTTAAGTCAAGGTACAGGAAGAGCCTTAGTGTTTGCCAAAATACATATAGTGAAATACTTACCTGCAATTTATTACATTGATGTCACAGGAGCAGCTCTGAGATATCATACTTATCAGAAGGCAACATTTCAAAGAGATTTTGAGTCTCAACATGAGCTTCTTGACTCTTCTTTGCTGTTACTGCTGATGCAAATAAGAATAACTGGGTTTACTGAGCAATGCACAGGTTTGAAAAGTTAGATTGTTGATATTCATAATTTATAATAATATAAGGAGTATATTGGGATGTTTGTGAGAGTGAAAGAGATCATGTGTATTTATATTTAAATTATAATATTAAAATACTAGCTTTCTTCATATCAGAGGCATTACTTCTTCTTGTTGTTGCAATGTTTTTGGATTTTCAGACTGTACACCGCACTCTGGCTGCCATGCTGGGGTCTCTGGCAGCCTTAGCTGCTCTGGCCATCATTGGTGATGTAAGTTTATCCTCTTCTCATTTTGTTAGCTGTGAAATAAATGACAGACAGAAAGCTTGTATAAAGCATTATTCTTTCCCAAAATATAACTCAAAAATGCACATGATACTTTATGGTACAATAATGACAGTTTGAAATTAGCAGGAAAATCAGCTTGCTAGCTTATCTGTACATTTAGCTAACTAAACTAGCTGAATTGTTTCTGTCAAAATATAATGATATTTTAAACAGAAAAATATTCTCTCATACAGTATGCTTTAATCCTATTTGTTTTTAATGAATCATTTCCAGTAGCGACTACTGACTGATATTACATGTACATGTTGAAAAGCGCTGGGCCACTTCTTCCTGGTAGAGTTTCCCATTTAAAGGGATCAACATGCAGGCCTGGTCAGTTAGGCCAGTCTGTTTGTTCAAGGTTTATTGTGCCTTTATGTCCTCATGCTTGTTAAAAGCTTCTGTTTCACATTATTTCACATTATTTTCAATTTGTCTTTGAAAATGTTTCCTTAGCAGTAGTCATAAATGTTTGCAACAAAATATTTTATTTCTGTACTTTTCAAAGTTGGAGGAAAAGCACAGGTGTAATTAATAACTCTATTTATGTGTTCCAGCTGGACAGTACTGGGCCTGTGACTTCACTGGGCCACCAGCAGTTATATATTATTAACACCTGTGCTTTTGCTGCTGTAACAAGTGTTATCTGTGGAAAAAGACCTATAGCACCCAAAGGAAGGATGTGGGCCAGCTCGAGTTATAATGGTGCTTGAATAGAGTTTAAATAAAAACATGTTAAACTTGCCAGAATAAAAATTTGCCAGATCTCAGCTAGTGATTAATGTGTCTGACACCAGTTTACCAACTCTCTCCTTTGTGCTTTTTCTTCACAGTTCTGAATTGTTAATATAGCCATCTCAAAGCTAATTATCTTCTTTGTCTCACCCACAGCGACCCAGTCTGGTTACTGTGGTAGAGTGGATCGATTACGAGACACTGGCTCTTCTGTTTGGCATGGTAGACTTCTTTTACAGATGTTCTTTGTATGTTCATTCTTTGCTTGCACTCAACAAACCTACTTTGGGACAGTCTGACTTTTAAATTCCACACAGAAACATACAACATACTGTAGAATATTTCTGGACTTTCTGAAATCTTAAGTTTAGTCCATGCCCTTTTGTCTCAGCCTTTCCAACAGCTGACAGTGGAATCTGTTCCAAGTGAAACTGACAATACAAAATCTTGTCTCCATGGAAACACATGTTCTGTCAAGTTTGGTAAAAAATTGAAGAGCATGTCTGAAAAGTTTTCTTGACCACGGAAAACAGACCATTATTTTCAGACACATATACTGTAACTTTATGGCAGATCACATCCATAAAAAATATTCTTCTCTAATTATTCCCATAAAAGATACTTCTGCTGCATCAGTGAAGCAGTAAATTTCATATTGATGCATGCCTACAGATGGTAGCTTCCTGTGGACAGTGTCCACTATCAATAGCTGCCCCTGAAATTTTCATCTCACTCTACAAAATACACCAGACAGAGTTTCTGAAACTGTTCCTGTAAGTTTGCAATGTACGTAACTGTGCATGTATATACATGTAAGATACAATACATGCACCATATTAAACTGTGTAGAAACTGTTTACATATAACATACAATTAATTTGTTTTGCCCAAAGTCTGTGATAATTACTGATGTTGGTTTAGGACTGTTTTGTGCACATGCACTCATTTTGCTGTCATACCACAAAGTGTATAATGATGGAGATAGCAATAACAAAGTCTAATGAGTGTAATAGAATTCTGAAAGTTGAGCACACTGGAAATATGTTTCTCACTGACCCCACTTCTTAGGTGAGCACCATCTTGCTGTTTGTGGTGGCAATTTTTAAAGTGTCTGCATATAATCTTGTTACATAATAGGAAACATTTTGTTTAACAAAATGTGTCTGGTTTCTTACAGATGGTACTGGTGGCCATCTTTTCAGAGACAGGTTTCTTCGATTACTGCGCTGTTAAGGTGAGTTGGATGTATGACACTAACGCTGGGTTTCAACACAGAAAATAACAAAAGCAGTCAGTATAATCAGACATTTTGATCATGACAGTATCGTAGCATTTAATTTAGATTTGATATCCTTTGGTGATATAACATTTGCACGTTTACCTGTGACCCCGTGGGGTATTGAGTTACAAGTGTATAGGTATAGTTGACCACTGGTATTTTGAAGTTGCCTCGGAGGCGAAACACTTTTCTGAGCTATTTCTGAAATTGGCACTGGCGCATGACAAGTCTGTGGGTTTCCCAAGATTTGGGAAGACCTTTGTAAAGTAAGATGATCTAACAAGTTTTGATGCTTGTCTTTACATCCTAACCCAGAAATGCACTAGAACAGGATGACAAGAACAACATTTGCTTTGTTTTGTGGGAAGGTTCAGAAAACAAGGTCAGCACTGAATAAACTGACTGCTTTTTTTTAATATGACAATAAAACATGTTTTTTAAAAACTGAGATGGTACTTAGTACAAACCCAGACACCTTGTATGTTTATTCATTTCAGGACTGTATAAAATTAATTTTGCTTAGGTTTTGTTTAGATCCAGAACTATCCAAAAAATAATAAATAAATACATATTTTCTGTTACAGAAGATAAGACCCTGTCCTTACAAAGGTCCCCTACCATCAGAAAAACAGCTCAGGTTTAATCATAAATGCTGGAGTGCGCGGAGTGCCTTTGTCCTTCAGGTACAATCAGACCTGCAGAACTGTGGGATCATGCAGGCTCATGAATTTAAAATGTGAGTTGGACAAGGGCAGGCACTCCAAATAAAAATACCTTCTCAGAGAGCAGTTTAACTGCTCCGCCACACTGTACGATTTCATCTTAAAAGGCATCCATTCTGAGCCACTCCCATGGAATTTAGACTGGTATATTAACATTAGAATTTGAGGCATCAGTAGGACGGTGCGTGTCATTCTACAGCATACTCTATGACTGTTTTAGGAGCGTGAGCACAATATGGCAACCGGTACTACCACAAAATTTTACTCTGCAGTGCTCATTAATGATGTTTCACTGTGTATTTTTTGATGTGTTAAAAGCTTAAACATCTCTCTGATGTGTATGAACTCAGAACCACTCAAAGAATACCTTGACTTGGTCACTTTAGATTCTGTAAGTCCTTCCTGAACAATTACTGAAAAAGAATTAAGACATCCACTTAATGGGATTTTAATTACCATTAACAGTCATGGTGTGCCTTCTCTCTGCAGGCTTACCAGTTATCCAGGGGAAGAGTGTGGCCAATGATCATCATCCTCTGTCTCATTGCCGCCATCTTGTCTGCTTTTCTGGACAATGTGACCACTATGATGCTTTTCACCCCTGTCACCATAAGGTACAGTATGGTTGTTTGAAATTGCCACCTATCCATTATCTGTATCTGCTTTGTCCTAGCAACAGTGGACGAGAGTCAGAGTGCACCCTGGACAGGATGTTACATGGAGACAGACATCTGTTCACTCACATTCACAGCTAGATTTCATTTAACCTAACTGACCTGCATGGTCTTTTATAAAAAAAACACCACTTTGCCTGATGTTACCGGCTATATCACCTTATGTGGTATGAGTCATTAGAAATTCAGTACTATATTTTGGGCTTGTTATTTTAGACATACCTTCAGAAAGAAATAGTATCATCTTCAGAAATGTCCAGATATTTGCAGCACCCAAGCCATTGTTACATTAATTTACGTTTTGAAAGAAATAAACTAAATAATCAAGTTCTGTAGCTTTAGATGTGTCATATTTACTATACATGTCTGCATAGTAAATATGAAGCTACTGAGAGTAGTAGGTTAGCTTGGCTTAGTGTAATAGATAGTTAAACATGTATGTGGATGCTTTGGAGGTTCTAGAATAAGTATATTTACCAACCAAAATCTCAGTTAGTATTTTAAATATTAATTCTTCCTGCTTATATTGTAGCTTACACACTTTTGTTGGTTTTTAACTTAAACTCTCTTGTGTATCTAGTAATCCTGTAGTATTTTTTTAAATAGTCACATCAGCCAGTAGGCCACAACCACACATTACATCCCTAAAAACAGAACTACTACACAGAACATGCAATTTACTGCACTGTAGTGCCTTACAAATCAGCTGTATGTGTGCCACCCACTGCTGATTCCTCCTCATTATTAGCATCTTTGTATTCTGTCCTTGAACTGAGTCCATTCAGTGAACCATTATTAAGGTCTCAAAATTGCTTTTGCTGCCAGGTCAAACTATAGATGAAACATCGACTTGCCTGAAATTAGACACCTGATACACAAATATCTTGTACAGCCACAGTGTTAAAGAACCAGTGCTTTTTATTTTCCAATATCCCTTTTATACTCCTGTATTAATTTTGCCCACCTGTTGCAATCTAACTGGGGCTAAAAGACTTTTCTCCATCTAATTTTGCAGGTTGTGTGAGGTGCTTAATCTAGACCCCAGACATGTCCTGATTGCAGAAGTAATCTTCACTAACATCGGAGGGGCCGCCACAGCTGTCGGAGATCCTCCCAATGTGATTATAGTATCAAATCAGGACCTGCGCAAACAAGTAGGCATTTTCACAGCTCTCTGCCTAAACTTGACTGATGTACTGTAACAGATCAGCTGACACACAAACCAGACGCCTAGGGAAGCAAACATAGTGTCCTTCATGACTTGTGTGTAACAGAGAATAATAATAATAATATGAAGGGTAAATTGCTTTTTTATTCGAGTCATGCAGATGGTACAGTACTGTCAGGTGAGGAAGGAATTGAGGAGCATGGAATGGCTTAATTTCAAGAATACTAAAGTGTTTGTGAAATGTTAGCCATGACTTGTGCCTCTAAACCTGTATTTATCTTCTACAGTACACGCTGATCATTAGCTATTGTAGAAGGCAGTCGTTTTATCAGTAAGGCTGAAATTACTCACTTTGTAGCTTAATTTTGTTTGCTTTTTGAGTGGCCCTGTGCAGCACTATACAACACACCAGAGATGGAAAGTAACTAAGTACATTTACTCAAGTACTATACTTAATTACAATTTTGCAACATCTGTACTTGAGTATTTTCATTATCTGTTACTTCATAATTAAACTTAACTACATATCAGAGAAAACATTTTTTACTTTATACTCCCTACATTTATTTGATAACTTTAGTTTCTAATTACTGTACTTTTCAGAAGTTCAAAGTGTTTATTTTGTCATATGCACAGTTAGGAAACGTGTTTCCCTGTACAATGAAATTCTCACTTTGCAGTCCACATGAATGCCACAAAATACAAATGAAATATAAAGTAGATAAATAAATAACACAAAATCTAAGGCACTTTAAGCAACGCAGATGCAGCAGTATAGTAGAAAAAAAATATATATATACAAGAATATAACAGAATGTATGCTGCATGGTAGCAGAATGAGATTAATTAAACAAAATACAGTATAAGTATAGGGCTTTGTTGATCCTTGGTGGTTAAATTACAAGTTACCCAGCAGTATGTAAAGTAATATTATAAGCATATACTATAAGATGGTTAAAACTAGCTCCCCCTTTACCAGGTGTAACATTAAATGTGACATACACAATAACACATTAATAATTATCATCCACAAATGTAATATTATACAGTAATGTGAAATGTGCCATTCTGCATAATGAGTACTTTTACTTGTTGTACTTTAAGGAAATTTTGATGCTAATACTTTTGTACTTGTACTTAACATACACACATGTGAGCGTTGTCATGACTCCTGACGAGTTACTGTGATCAGCTTCACTCTTGCCCTTTACATACTGACAAATTTATTCCAGACAAAGTAATAAAACATATGTTTGTTTAAGTTTGACCCTGTGTATACTGTATATGAATATGACTAGATGAGCAGCTTTGACAGTATACAGTACTTAGTACCTTGGACTGAGGTCTAGAAAGTGAGCAGCCGCTATGAAAGTCATATGATATGATAAGGTGTTATGTTATGAAAGAGGCATCTAAGTCCAGAAATCTAAGTCCAGTTGTTTTTTTCTAAGGTTTTTTCAGTTTAAGGAAAAGCCATTATTACGTTGGGCTATTTTATCGCCTGTGAACCATGTTAGCACACTACATACAAGTGTGGAGGTTTTTCAACGTTACTGCCTTGAACTGCTCACATGGCAGCATTTTTAAGATATTTTCATGTGAGCAACATATACACAGTGGGTAAACTTGGAAGGTTAGAAACCTGAGTACCACCTACCGTACATAATTTGCAGGGTTTAATGCTGACTAACTGGCAGTGAATGTGATCTTATCCATATATCACCAGTCATGTATGTAACACAACCACTACACTCAAAGCTACAGTCAGTTCAGTAAAGGTGGACCCTAACCACCAGCCTTGGGAACCATCAGAAGACTTGCACAACGCTGCAGAGGAGAGCTTGCTAGAGGTTCACTTTTTATTGATACAAAAAAGCAATCATCTCAAAATTAGTACTTTGCATTCAAATACAGTATGTCAAATCAGTAGCTGCACATGGATTAGCTGAGCACAAAAATATATTGCATGGTGCATAATGTTGGAAAAACAAGGGAGAATCTATAAGGTAAAGAAAAGCTGAAGAGGAGGACAGATAGGCTGCACATTGCGCTGGACTCAGTGAGAGCCTGACTCACTGGTGCTTTCCCCACCAATTAAGCATTAAATCAGAAAAACAGCAACATTTGAGGTTTAAATGACCACACCTTTAGTAAGACAAGGCTTGTGGCTACATTCTAAGGTGCTTTTTGTGCCTGTAGAGTTAAAACTGTGCCACTGTGAGCAGTTTAGAAATTTTTTTGGCCTTCAAAAACCACAGCTCAAAAGGTCATGTGACACACTCTAGAATTCTGAAAAACCTGATATCAGCCTAGCCCTGCGATGGATTGGCGACCTGTCCAGGGTGTACCCCGCCTTCGCTTGATTGCCGGCCGGGATTGGCTCCGCTCCCCCCTCCCCCGTGACCCCGTTCAGGGATTAAGCGGTAGAAGATGAATGAATGAATGAATGAATAAACTATAACACCTATCAAACCATAGGTGTGTGTATATTTTTGTCCTCCCCAGCTACATAGATGAGAGGGTCATAATATTAGGAACACCTGAATATAATGTAGTCCAGTACAACACCACATTTAACTATGACTTCAATAATAAATATAACTGAATTTCTACATTTATGACAATTTCACCAAAAACTGAAACATTCTGAGCTTCATAAACACAGATGTTAAGATGGAAGTGTTGCATTGAAGTGCACACAATTGTACAGATGTTACTATTAATGTGGCCGGGCAGTGTAGATAAGTCCTTAGAATATTAAAGTTTTGACGATGGTGTCTGTGTTCACTAGTAGTCAAAACCCTGGTCAATGCAACTTTAATATACCAGCAGCAAACCCAACTGATTACAGCTATCTGCTGTTTGTTTAATGGACCTTGCAAGTGATCCAGTATCGCTGTTATCAGGTGAAAGCTCTCGACAGACTCATTTTAACTTCAGCACATTGCAGTTGAATTGTTTCCAGTTGGTTTTGAAGAGGCTCCATAAATCCAGTCATAATGTTTTTAGTTGGCCTCACCATGTATTTATGATGAACTCTCAGTACATGTACTGTAACAAGAATAAGGTGAGACTTTACTGGCAGCTGCTGTCTACTGTTGAAGACATATTGATATGTTTCATATAAGTGCTGACATTTATGACCCAGTGTAGCATTTATAGTGTACCTTACAGACATTTACCAATATGTTTTGGGACTACTCTGGACAAACTGAATTCCCTTGTTTTATTTCTGTTCAACACAATCTATTTATACACTTTTGACCTTTATTTATGTTGATGTGCAGGTGATGAATGGCGTTGTTATGTCAGTGAAAACAATTTATATTTTTGCTGTTGCCATCATAAATCACAGGAATTAAAAATGTCAAAATAGTGAGAAAAGAAACTGTAACACCTTCCTATTTCAAGGTAGCTGCCCAGTGTTGCATATTGTTGCTTTGGCGTTCTTTTTGTCAAACATTTATAGGATGGCTTCAAATGTCTAACACCTCATTCATTTAGTTTTTTTAGCATAAATATTACCATGTCATACAGTTTATACATCGCACCGGGTCTGAAGTCCCTTCCTGCCACACATTTAATTATTTCTGACATCTGTGTGGAGTAACACCTTTCCAGTGCCTCAGCAGCAGCTCAGGCTGGTGTGGCTCTAGCCTGCGTGCTGGGGCTGCTAGAGACCCGTTCTCAGTCTCTGATTAAACTTGTGAGGGAGACAGCATCACCCCTGATGCAATAATGTGTAAAACCTTGTAACTGAACACCCAGGTCTTTGCTTTTGGTGGATGATGTATGTCACACTTGGTTAAGAGCTTAGTGCCAATTTATGTCTCTGTGCCACTCAGATGAGGGTGATTTCTCTCATATAGAATACATTTTTGTATTTAAATGATGTATTTTTTTAAGTTTGAAAGGAATTGAAAATATTTATGATGTACATTTATTTATTGGTCAAACTGACTTTGACATTTGTAGTAGAACGGAAATTGCTTCACTTTACACTCTTATTATTCTCTCCCACATGATAGACAAATTGTTGTCTATCGTACAGATTGTGATAAATATGATGTCAATGAACACCATTTTACTGGGTTAATCAGAGCAGCTTGTTGCAGTCTTAATTGGGCAATGACTTGTAGGCTCTTCTCATAACCT